GAGTGCCATTAGGTGTTTTTTTTGTTCAACAAATAGGCTATAAAGTTACAACATGAATGGCATGCAAGTATCTAGACTATACTACACATATAGGCTAGGTGGTTTGCAATGCACAACTACTGAAGGACGAGGACTTAAGAAGACTGGGAGAGAAAAGTACAACACGAAACACGCTGCTTCTCAAAACACAAAGCCACACACAGTAGCTGTCAATCAAAAGCCTTTCTAATATAAAACTCTGCCAATGTTTCCTCTACCGCTGCAATGTGAAGGCAAATTAGTCCGCCCTTCAAGACCATTTTTCTGGCAACAGCTCAATGAGATGGGAAACAAAAGCGTTCCGATTTGGCAACACAGACCTCTTATAGCAGCCGTACAACACTATGTGCTAAGGCACTGTGGTTAACATCGAGAGGGGGTCATGAAACATGAGACTAGGCAGAAGGCGATAGGAAAGGAAGGTTGAGATTTAGGGGAAGGCAAAAAGCTGTGCAAACCTTCCAAACTTGTCCTTGCTGGGGGAGAAGCATTGTAACAGAAAGAGAGAAAGGTATACATCAACACAGGATCTAAAGTAACTAACATGCATATCTAATTGAAAACAACTGGTTTTGGAGATAACTGTAACATATTAGAATGTAGAATTATACAGGCCTAGGACTTAGGCCTATGTTATGCCACATAGGGGGGGGAGTTATCCTTCTTACTAGCCCTACATTATGTAGGCCTATGTGGCTGTCCCAAACTGTCGTTCATTCTCACTGATGCTATTAATTATGATGTAGTCTACGTTGTCCCTACTATAAGAACCTTGACCTCCAGGAGTGGGGTGCTCTGTAAGCTTCTCTCTGTCTAGCCTATAGGCTCCCTGAGGACACGGAAGGAACAGCATGCAAGAGAAGCATAAATCAACAGTCATCTTATTTCAAGGCTGTTCAATAGCAACATGGTCTCATACAAAAGCAAAAAGGGGAGAATCATTGTCATCAAGTAGTAGTATAAGGTTACCATTCTCTGCCACTACTTGGATAGTGAAGACACTGAACATTCCTTATTCAGCCAAAGTTAAACAACTCTCTTGAGCCAATATATAGGACTAAGGACCTAAATCCTACAGCTTCCCAGTGTAAATTAGCTACTGTACAACTCACACACTGACTATTAAATGGTCTAATTAAATGTGGGGAAATCTTAGCCTAATTACAGAAAAATCACAACAACAAAAAAATATAAAACGGGGCTAATAGATTAAGATGAATACATTTTCTCATCTTTGTCAGCATCTCTCTGAAAGCTAGTTGCCAAGCAACATGACTACTAAATGATTAAAGTGATGATTAAAGTTCTCCAGACGCCTTGAGGTTTTAGAGAAACAATTAGCCTATAGCCTAACTTGATCTAACCTAAATAGCCTAATATCAACAATAGCCTACAACATTCCAAGTGAGAATGGCCATCATGGGAATAGAGAATATGTCAAATGGAGACATAGGCCTAACCACAACAGTATGATCAGAAGATTAGCCTAAAAAAAGATCAGCCTAAAACCGTATTTGCAAGAACAAAAAAGTGACTGCCAGTCATTGGAGGGGGGGATCTGCACCTGTTAGCTACATTTTCACATCACAGAATGGTGATAGTATCCTAGTGAAACTACTGCATGATTGTGTGGATAAGACAGTTTGCCTGACTCAATAAATTGGATTATGGCCTACACTTCGCAGCCAGGAGAGTGAATAGAATAGAAGCATCACATGGCTGACACTGGGCTCCGACACAGTCCTGTTGCTATGGTTCAGAAGGACAGAGACTGGCCGGGCAGGCCAACAGCTCACTATGCCTCATTCACACTATAGGCCTACAGCCAGACCAAGCTGAGCTATAGGCCTGTATTGGGCTTGCCTGGTTACAAATCCACCATAGTTGCTAGAACTGTGATGGAAACGACAATATGAAAATAAAATATCTGAGCCAGCACAGTACAGTTCAGGTAGGCACTGTGTAGGGATGGACACGTTTATCCGGATATCCGAATGGACGTTACTATTCGATTACTTGAGTGACTGCCAAATGATTATTTGGTATGTTACTTTGGTGTTGATTTTACAGATACAATCCATAACATTTCCTGCCATTCAATAGAGAGCAATAGTAATGGCGTATTTTTGTAGGCACTACTCCGCCATGGCTCGTTGGCCAAAGCTTATGGGGAAATGAATATTTTGGGGGGATAAACGCCGAAAATAAGGTTTGTGGTAAACACAGGTTTAGGAGATTGTTTTGTTCTATGAGATACCGTATGTAACCGCTCTCAAATTCATAAACAGAGCTTTGGATGCAAGGACTGACCATTCATAATATCAAAATTATAGTTTTAACCATGTTGAGGCTATAGGCCTACAGTTTATTCTTTACAATTACATTGTTAACAAACAGTGGAGTAAAACAAGCTTATATTTTGGGTTCTGATAGGGTTGAGTTGAACTAAGCTCATGAGGGATTTTTTTGTTATATTCCTCAAGAATTATTGAGCATGACATTAACGCTTGTCCGCTTGGCAAGTTTAAAAAAAAATTGTTGGACAAGCAGATTATAGATTGTCCGTATGGACAGTAAAAAAGTCATGCAAAAATCAATGTCAAACAATTAGGCTACTCCGATCAGAACTGGATCAAAGTGTTCTCCGGATGTGATGTGTTGCGCACTGTCCTGCCAATCTCTGCAGAGTGCATCGGAGTATAATTATTGTAGGCCTGCATTGACAGGCACAAGCAGTCTTTCAATCCTGCAGTCACGAGACACGCATGTGCACGTGTTGATATTCATTGCTAGTTAGTGAGTTGTTTGCCCAGTTATAGAACATTTTTGGTCTGCAATGGAAAAGTCAAGGTGTGTGCATCACCTGCGTGTGTGCCAGTGCAAGTGGGCCGTTGCCAGAGAGAGAGAGAGAGACATTGCAGCAGCATGTAAAATATTACAACAGATTAACTTGATTCAATTCAAAGCATATTGTGTAGTTTGGCTGGTTACCTTGCTAGTTAACTATTTAGCTATTAGCATGTATTCATGTAATTGTCGTGTGTGACTCTAACCCTAACCCTGGCTGAAACTAATCCTGGACCTGCGTGAGTAGCGGGTCCAAGATCTAGGACCAAAGCACCATGTATTTATGGCAGCGCGAACCGCGCTGAACTTTTTTGCCCATTGTAAACAAGCTAGCTCGCTAACGTCATGTAGAATGTGCATCTTCCTAGTCGCACCCTGAAACTGTTACTTTCAGGTCTTTTGAAAGCAAACGTATTCTGTAGAATACTCACAAACACTCCAGAAAACCGAACCAGGGTACCGAATTTCATATGTGTAAACGCCCTAAATATAAAAAGAGAAACATAATCTAAGTGTCTCCATCTAAATACACTTACTAAGAAAGTATATTGAATGTCACAATGTAGCCAAGTATCTGTACGTTGTCTGTCCCTGCGTGGGGATAAAATTATGCATCAGTTGGGAAATAGCCAGGGCCTATGACAAAACAAAGGTAAACAATTCAGTATTTCAATGGGCTTTACAATAACTGCTCAATAAGCATGGACAGTCAGTGTCATAACTTCTATTGTCTAATATTTCCCATTGCAATGGCATTTTTGCCATTTACTTAGCTATGTGAATCTACTGTTAATATCAAAATATTCATATAATATAATTTGTTGACTGTGATGAGTGAGTGTGAGAGTGTGCTGATATCTAGCTAGCAGGGCTGGAAATTGCCAGGGACCTCACGATACGATATTATCACGATACTTAGGTGCCAATACGATATGTTTTGCGATTCTCACTACTTTGTATGTATTGTGATTCTATACTGTGATTTTATTGTGATTCGATGTTCCAAACATATTGTTCACCATATGTCTGCTGCAGAGGGACAAGAGAGAGCCATGAGAAAACTAGTTTTGATCAGTCATGGAAATAAAAGTGCTGAAAACATATTGCGATATTGTCAAAACGATACGATATATCGTCAAAAATAATATCCCGATATGTAACTGTATACATTCTATGCTATCTATGATATCAACGTCGATATTAGACCATACAGAATGCCGTTTCTGGCTATGCACGCACCCGAGCTGTCTGACTAACTAGCTAACGTTAGCTACTACAAGATGAGGACGACTAACTAGCAGTCTGGCTACCATTACAAACAGGCTAGCTAGCATCAAGGCCTTCGCACTGATTCCTGACCATTCCCGATGCTTTGCACCACAGTCATGTATATTATTAGAACTAAACACAGGTTTCTATTTACTTACCTAAGAATGGAGGCATGTATATATATTCTTAACTAAGGCACGTGTGCATGATTTCGTTATTAAATGTAACACAGACATATCTTAGTTACCTTTTTGATGTTATAGATCCGGGTGAGCATCCCGATTCCCCTGTCGTTAAGGATGGTGAATTTCTCTGCCAGCTTTTGCTGGCTCGGCTGCATTACCCCCCGTGACATTTTACTTGTTCAAGGTGTTCCTCAAACCAAAATGTGTCCTGTATCTTCGCAGTATAATGTTGATATATAATAAATACTTGGTATAATAAAAATCGTTTTGTAGTGTTAGAATTCGTCCATTTTCAAGGAAAACATCAAGGCTAACAAACCCACACTCCACCCCGCTGTCTCCCTGTTTCTTCTTTTTTTTTCGCTGCCTAGGTGTTGCCCCCTCTCAGAACGAGGCTGCTTCCTGCAACACGACTCTGTTCACGTGACACAATTCCATTCATATTTCCCATTTGTATTACCATGACAGGTGGTAGCCGGATAGCTAGCGTTCGGAAAAACGTTCGTTTGCAATAAAACGCGAGCACTTCTTTGGATTTAAACTGGATAACAATACAATGTTGCGAAAACGTTGATCGGGTATGTGTAGCTAGCTACATTAGCGTGTCTCAGTGTTAGTTTCTCAGTATTGGTGCTTGCAAAGCCCCGCTTGACAGATGCAATGCATTCACTTGCACAGGAAATTCAAGGATTTTCGAAAACAAAACTGAAAAAGCAAAGCACTGTTGTGACAACTGTGCTCGGGCGACGGCACATAGAAACAATGGACGACACCAACATGCACGAAAATGAGGACCCAGTGATGTCAGGCTGTGGATTTGTTCAAGATACTAGCTTGGATCTTCAAGTTGGCATTATCAAGCCATTTCTACTACTCTGTAAGACATCATCATTAGTTATGTTTCCATTAACTTGTCCAGTGATTTGTTTGTTCGTTTTTTTGTCGACATTTAGAAAGTTAACATAGAAAATAGATCCGACAATTGTCTTCTATCGAGCGTTTCATTTTACTCTCTTGTTTATTTTTTATTTATTTTTTACATTTCAAATTACAATAACAAAAACAACAGGACATCACTACACATATTTTCTCTGGAGAAACATAAAATAACATTAAAGTAAAATAATAAAATCAATACACATGAATTTTGTTTCAAAAGTTAAAGTACCTAAAATAAAATAAATAAAATAAGGTCAGGGGTTACAAATGTACAAACCTATGATAGAGTTGTAAGAATTCATTGTTTTTCTTGTTATTGATTAATTCTAGAGATTTTATTAAATATTGGATTTCAAGTAAAAATATATTGCATTTGGGGACAGTTTTCAAATATTTGTTTTTGTGTATATAAAATTTACCAGAGAGAATGAAGGAATGAACGACTAATTCAGTAGTTTTGTTCTCATTTGAATAATAACATATTATATCTTTCATTGTAAATATATGGGTCTTATTAATGAAATAAAACATGTAGATACTTAACTCGCTCCAAAATAACTTCAGAGTCACATTCATAAAAAATGTGTATAATAGTTTCCCCTTCTTTATCACAGAAAAGCCATATGTCCTCTAAGTCCATTAATTTAGACAAGTTATTGCAAGGGTATATTTTGTGCAAGATTTTAAAGTGAATTTCTTTTACTTTATTTGATATGCAACATTTGTGAGGGAGCAACCAAGCTTTCTTACATTCAATTTCAGCAATATATGCATTCCAGAAGAATTTCCCTCAAGGAGAGATCTTGGAGTTAAAAAGTTATCTTAAGAATGTAGTATTACATTTCTTATCCAGCAGGGGGAAACCTTCTAACATAAATTGTGCATCTATCTTGACATGTTCTCCAAATCACAATTGAGATTTCATTAATTAAGTCCTGAAGGTATTGCTTTGCATATAGAATTACATTCTTTATAATGTATTGGGAAGTTATATGTTTCTAAGAACTTTCTATAAGAGAGTATATTTCCTTGTTTATCAAATAAATCAAGCACAAATATAATATTTCTTTCAAACCACTTAGGGAAGAACAAAGACTTGTTTTTAACAACAATATCTTTGTTGTTCCACAGAAGTGCCTTTTGTGGGGAGAAGTTGTGGACATAGTTTCCAGGCTAAAAGGGCTTGTTCATGAAATGTGGACAGTTTGATGGGTTAATTTTGCTGGAGAATAGTTGCACTTCCACAAAAATTGAAGACCACCCAATTTCATAAAAATATGACAGTGAATTAAGTACCAAATAGATTCAGAGCTAAGCATGCATATTTTTATCCAGGTGCTTTGCCCTTCTTCATAGATTTAAGCGCATCTCTAATCTCTACTATAGAAAACTCATCTTTACATATGGACTTGAACTCATCAGAAATAATTGGAACATGAACATGTTCGCATTCAGTCCCATTAAAATTAGATTTATACAGATTTTCATAGAAAGAATTCACAAAGCTAGAGATGATCTTAGGGTCTTTACACAAGGTATTGTCAATATTTAAGGCAGAAAGAGATTCTCTCTTATAGTTCCTTTTTTCAATGGCAAAAAAATTGCTTGTGTTTTTCTCACCACCCTCAACCCATTTTGCTCTAGATTCAGGAGTGAATTATTATGTTTCCAGTATCCTCGAATGCCACTGGATTTTTCAGAACATTCTAACTTCAATAATATCATTTTTATGATCAGTGAAAGGAGCATGTTTATGATTTCTTGTACAAACTGTAAAAGTGGGGGAGAAATGAGAAACAGATCAATTCTGGATCTGACCATCATTGACCTATTACACCAGGTGTATTCTTTTAAGTTTGTATTCAAGAAACGCCATGTATCAACCACTGTCAGTTTACTGCAAAATGAGGTGATGATGTCACTATTCTGAGCTCTTTGAGCTATTCTAGGGGGAAATCTATCAGGTGTTTCATTAAAGTCTCCAGTTATTATAAGCCATGCATTTGTATACTTGTTTTGCAGCTCAGTAAGCTTATCAGCAAGATCCAAAAAGAAAGTCTTATTTGAGGTGTGAGAATTGTACCCATACACATTGCATATAATAAAACAAGCATTATCTAGTTTGGAGATCAATATAACCCATCTCCCATCTTTGGACACACAAGACTCTGAAATATCACCTCTAAATTTATGAAGCAATATCATAGTACCAGCTGAGTGATTAGACCCGTGACTATAATAAATAGTATTTCCCCATTGTGATTTCCAAAAACTAGAATCTGAATCGCCAGTCTCCTGGAGTAGAATGAAATCTGCCTTAGAGTGCTTTTTCTTTTAGTTATGTTTCATAAACCCCTGGCATTTAGAGATACAATATTTAGTGCATTGAATTAAAAACGTTTCATAACCTGAAAAAAATTACAATAATAAAACAAATACAGTGTAGTGATATGAATAACTGATTAACTAGTAAGCTAGGTAGCTAGTAAGGGAATCTGAGCTTAGAGAAAGAACTGGACTACCCTAAACTGAGGTAGTTGTGATCAATATGATGAACCCATATTCACATTTACGAACCTGGTGATATAAAACGGGATGAATGTAAAAATGACAATCAACTTATTACTCGAGTAATTTAGCTAAATCTTAACGTTTTCATTTGACTTAGAAATAATAACAAACATCGATTTCAAGTCAATGTAGCTAAACGTCCCTTTTTCAGGACCCTGTCTTTCAAAGATAATTCATAAAAATCTAAATTACTTCACATTTCCGCTTATAAATCTGTGTACACCGTATATCGAAATGGCTTGCATTTAGCGATAGCCTTGGTTCCCACGGGCACATAGTATATTTTCTGAGCCTGTGTGATGTAGGATGTGAAATCGGAAACCACTTGAAGCTGGGATGTCCCTCCAACCATTTAATTTGCTCTTCCGACTTCATCAACTCCTGGCTGAACCCTATATCTTAGTCTTCTTCTTCTCCGGTATATTGGCGATCGCACAATTTAATGTGCATCTCGCCACCTAATGTGCTGGATGGAAAGAGGATTCCCAAAAATGGAACAAAATACATTTGAGCTCTTTATCAAAAAACAACAGGACCGACAGACTTTCTTCTTTTTCCCCATTCACCCAGCGGGTCAGACGCCGGGCATCAACCACACCAGGAATTTTCTTCAGGTATTCAACCGGAACATCCGTTGTCACCCCTGAGATGACTCCTTTGACGGGTGCTCTACTCCGAAGTTCAAAACACACAACTTCTGTTGTCCGGATTCTTTTGAGGCTCACTGCAATCTTCCTCTGTTCTTCAGAAATACAATTAATCAAAATAAGACCACTCATGGTCACTCTCACAGACTCCACTTTTCCTAGCGCATACTTCACCGTTTTCGACACCTCAAACGGGTTTCCCACATATGCGTCCTTACTCAACAAACGCATCCCAACAACAAGTGATTCATTATCATTCATACATGTATCCTCCACTCAGATTTTAGACAATCTCCTTTTTGTTCTAGTTTTCGCTACTACTGTTGTCCATTCAAAACCTTCATCAACTTTGCTCGACGCGCTGCTTAATTCGAACTCAGAATCCACTTCCGCCATCTTTCCCTACCAACCCTCCGAACCCTGTCACAGCCACTGACAAAGCACATGCCTGTAATCGTAGCGCAGAAGGAGAGAGTGGTGTCATCACAGTAGCACATTCAGAGATCGATTTATAGCCATTAATCTAAAATAATTAATACATTTTAAACAAACACTTTCTGTTTGTCATAGACGGACAAGATTAATATGAGAGGAAAGACATTTACATTACATTTTACATTTTAGTCATTTAGCAGACGCTCTTATCCAGAGCGACTTACAGTTAGTGAATGCATACATTTTTCATACTGGCCCCCCGTGGGAATCGAACCCACAACCCTGGCGTTACAAGCGCCATGCTCTACCAATTGAGCTACAGGAGTCCACGACAAGTTCAGGAAGCCAAGTTAGAGCTCTAGACGTTCACAGCGATGGGGGCAGACCTTTTGATCAAGAGAGACCTTTAGAAAATATGCACAAAATACACAAATATGTATTTTACAATTTATATGGAACGTAAAATCTCATAGTTAGTTGTTTTATAATTTGATTTTACTATATTTATAAAGAATATGTCATTTCAAGCCTTATTCATACAGTTTAGTTGAATAGGAAATACATCATATAAATGTTTTCATATTTGTATCATATTTGAATTGTGTAGTTGAGCTTGTGTCCTCAAAAGTGACTACACCTCAGCAATTTATACCTGTTTTTACCAGAAAGGTGAGATTTTAACCTTTCTTTGAGTATGCAGCATTACTAGTTATTTGTGGCCCTCATTTTCGATTACATTTAGTTACATTTAACTTTTAAATGTGGAGCTTATGGTTACATAACATCACGTGCCCCGCCTACCTTCAAAAGTATTCAACAATCATCATATATTCGAAAAACACGGTTTCCATCATCAGTTGTTGCAATAAAGAAAGTTCAACAAAAGAAAAATCCACCCGTCGAACAGATAAAATGTTTGTTGAGAACATTTCTCCTATATCTACCGTTTCCATTACACATGTCGAAATGTTGTTGTTTTCTGGCGACATTGCTTTTGTCGAATAAACCTGGGTCAATGGAAACCTGCCTAGTGTTTATTGGGGCTGCTTTATACCCTCCATAGACCCTAGTGTATATCAGTGGTTCTCAACCAGGGGTCCTAGGAAAAGCAGAGAGAACTAGCAAATAGAAAATAACTGCACTAAGTCCAAAATAGCTCACATTATGGAAGAGAAGTGTTTTAAATACTTTCAAATATTACAATGTTTTCAATTTCACATTTTGAATGTTGACAATAAATTAATATTGAGCAGACCGTTTACTCTTAAAAATTGGATATCTGATGTAGGGGGTCCTCAGAATATCCGGAAGTGTTTTTAAGGGGGACTTGGGACAAGTTGTAGAACTGCTGTGTATGTGACTGGGTTCAAACCCAGGTCTCCTGTGTGCCACATGACTGTAGGTTGTATAAGCCCACTGAGCTAAAGCCTAGGGATAAGCTTAGGGAGATAACGCAAGTCTTCAGGTCTCAGTCAAGGTTACTCATCACACAAGCGTGATTCACTGAACCATTAACTTCAGACTAAACTATTATTTCCTGTACAGTCTAGTTGACACATGTAGTAGCCTGCCTTGTTACAACATTGTGTAGGCATGATACAGACTTGTCTATTTTTGCAGCATCCCAAGACGCAGCCCAAGATATAGAAACTTTGAAGAAATTTAAGGTAACTCGCCTGTTGTGGTGTACATTTCAATTAAACAATAAAAAATGTACAAATCCCTAACGTAACACTTTTCTCTTCCTTGCAGGTTTCACATGTGTTGAATGTTGCCTATGGTGTTAAAAATAGCTTCCCAGATCTATTCAGTTATAAAACGGTGACCATTCTGGATATTCCGGAAACAGACATCACTTCATATCTCCAAGAATGTTCACAGTTCATAGATCAAGCTAAAACTGAGGTAATATAAGAATGGAGATGTGCATGTATAAATTAATGAATATTTGTGTTTTTAACTGACCGTGTCAGACAGTAATTGTGATTTGCAGTAACAATAAAACAAGTAAATAAGGAGTGGGTATGGTATTTGCTATGAATAGTAAACTGTGCACTGTATAACTTTTTGTTTAACTATAACTGTGTAACACCTTGTTGCCACATTTCTCAAGTCATTAACTTAGATTTTCCCCCCCATTTTCTCTCCAGAGCGGGGTTGTCCTGGTCCATTGCAATGCCGGAGTCTCTCGTGCTGCCTCAGTATTAATTGGGTACCTCATGGACAGAGAAGGTTTGGGGTTTGATGAAGCATTTGCCCTTGTGAAGGAAGCAAGACCCTCTATCCGTCCCAATCCAGGATTTCATGAGCAACTGAAGAATTACAAACCGTAGGCAACTAACACAATGTAAATGCAAATCAAGAAATATAAATGCAGTGTCTTATGTGGGCTGAGCATCTTGAACATGCAAGACACTCTAATAATAAAATACATTTAAATCAAATGGGCAAATATGTTTGATATGAAGCCAACAGAACAGAGGGGCATACTACAAAGCAGATTCAATATGTTAGCCAGCTAACTTGCCTAAATATTCTTACATAACTTTTTTTTTTTTTAGAAAGATAAGGTTGAAATAGGAATGATCTAGTTGACTCAACACCCCCAAAAATATCTAAGTTTAGCATTCTGGGTCTTTATCAAAGTTAGTTGGCTAACACATTAAACTGCTTTGTAGTATACCCCTCTGATGGGCAACATTGACAGATTAATTCAGTGTATTGATAAGCATTCTCCTTCGATATAATGTATGCAAATTTCCCCTAAACACTTACATTTACATTTTAGTCATTTAGCAGACGCTCTTATCCAGATCGGCTTACAGTTAGTGAGTGCATTTTTTTTTTTTTTCTTCCTGTGGTATTTGTTTTTGCCCTGATATTTTGAATTGTATTCAATATAATTGTAACAATATACTTAGGCAGTATATTCGACCAGCAGAAAATGAATGTCCGAGGTACGCTAAACCAATGTGAACTTTTATGCCTTTTCCTAACCCTTACCTTAACCTCACTGAAACTATACCTAACCTTAACCTCACCCTCGTTCCTAAACCTAACCTTAATTAATTTCGACCCCTATGGCGAATCTTTTTTTTCTTCTTCTTTCTGCCGGTCGAATATACACTTCCTAAACTTTATTGATCCCCAGAGGGGAAATTGGATTCGTCACCAGCATAAGATTTTATACGGGGACAATAGCCAACTTGTCAGTCTGACTGTCAGCTACAGTTGAAGTCGGAAGTTTACATACACCTTAGCCAAATACATTTAAACTCTGTTTTTCACAATTCCTGACATTTAATCCTAGTAAAAATTCCCTGTTTTAGGTCAGTTAGGATCACCACTTTATTTTAAGAATGTGAAATGTCAGAATAATAGTAGAGAGAATTATTTATTTAAGCTTTTATTTCTTTCATCACATTCCCAGTGAGTCAGAAGTTTATATACACTCAATTAGTATTTGGTAGCATTGCCTTTAAATTGTTTAACTTGGGTCAAACGTTTCGGGTAGCCTTCCACAAGCTTCCCACAATAAGTTGAGTGAATTTTGGCCCATTCCTCCTGACAGAGCTTGCTCGCATACGCTTTTTCAGTTCTGCCCACAAATGTCCTATAGGATTGAGGTCAGGGCTTTGTGATGGCCACTCCAATACCTTGACTTTGTTGTCCTTAAACCATTTTACCACAACTTTGGAACTATGCTTGGGGTCATTGTCCATTTGGAAGAGACATTTGCGACCAAGCTTTAACTTCCTGACTGATGTCTTGAGCTTCAATATATCCACATAATTTTCCTCCCTCATGATGCTAGCTATTTTGTGAAGTGCACCAGTCCCTCTTGCAGCAAAGCACCCTTACAGCGTGATGCTGCCACCCCCGTGCTTCACGTTTGGGATGGTGTTCTTCGGCTTGCAAGCATTCCCCTTTTTCCTCCAAACATAATTTTCTGGAATTTTCCAAGCTGTTGAAAGGCACAGTCAACTTAGTGTATGTAAAGTTCTGACCAACTGGAATTGTGATACAGTGAATTATAAGTGAAATAATCTGTCTGTAAACAATTGTTGGAAAAATTACTTGTCATGCACAAAGAACTATAGTTTGTTAACAAGAAATGTGTGGAGTGGTTGAAAAACGAGTTTTAATGACTCCAACCTAAGTGTATGTAATGTTCCGACTTCAACTGTATGTTTGACATCAAAATTAATGGGAAGTATTGGCATTGATGATGATAAAATGTACGTATACTGACCTGATTCAAATAAAAATCATGTTGAGAAATGTATTCTCTCCTAATATAAAATATTGGTTGCATTCCATATGCTGTCAACTATCAGTATACAGTAGTATTTATTTTATTCAACGAGGCCATGAAGAAAGCAACCTCTCATAGTTAACTGTATCTAAGTGCTGCCTTGCATGGAAATTATCAATTCAGCTACTGAAGGTGTTCTTCTCCTTATTTTTTTATTTAACCTTTATTTTAACAAGGAAGACATATTGAGACCTAGGTCTCTTTTTCAAATGTGCCCTGTGTAATACGCAACGTGCAACAATTTCAAAAATGTCACGGAGTTACAGTTAATGAGGAAATCAGTCAATTGAAATTCATTAGACCCTAATGTATGGATTTCATATGACTGAGAATACAGATATGCATCTGTTGGTCACAGATACCTTAAACAAAATGGGCCTCACAATGGGCCTCAGGATCTCGTCACCATATTTTTGTGCATTCAAATTACCATCGATAAATTGCAATTGGCTTTGTTGTCCGTAGCTTATGCCTGCCCATACCATAACTCCACCGCCACCATGGGGCACTCTGTTCACAACGTTGACATCAGCAAACCGCTCGCCCACACGATGCCATACTCATGGTCTGCGGTTGTGAGGTCAGTTGGATGTACTTCCAAATTCTCTAAAATGACGTTGGAGGCAGCTTAGGGTAGAGAAATTAGCATTCAATTCTCTGGCAACAGCTCTGGTGGACATTCCTGTAGTCAGCATGCCAAATGCACACTCCCTCAACTAGAGACATCTGTGGCATTGTGTTGTGGTACAAAACTGCACATTTTAGAGTGGCCTTTTATTGCCCCAGCACAAGGTGCACCTGTGTAATGATCATGCTGTTTAATCAGCCACTTGATATGCCACACCTGTCAGGTGGATGGAGTATCTTGGCAAAGGAGAAATGCTCACTAACAGGGATGTAAACAAATTTGTGCACAACATTTTAGAGAAAGAAGCTTTTCGTGCATATGGAACATTTCTGGGATCTTTTTTTTCAGCTCATGAAACATGGGACCAACACTTTACATGTTGCGTTTATATTTTTGTTCAGTATATATATAAAAAAAATACAAAAACACAGTCATGGGAAGCACACATAAAACATCACAAATCACCCAGAAAAACAGTTACATTCCTCCACAAATAAGTCCCCAATCAGTACTTTAAATTGCCCGAACGGCACTAGAATATCAAGATGACATGTATTTTGAATTTTGTTCCAGCAATACGGTGCATTAAAACTAAAAGCAGATTTACCTAGCTCGATGGAGACCATAGGAACCTCGAGGTAACCAATACTGTGAACGGTTTTATGCAACTCCGGTGTCTGTACTTCAACAGCAAAGTTAGATAAGACGAAAGTTTATGAAGTAGGGCCTTATAAACAAAAAGGGAGTAAAGTAGAGATCTATGGGTCTTTAGCGAAGTCTAGCCAACCTTTTGATACAGGATGCAGTGATGAGTATCAAAACTGTCACCTGTAACAATACAAAGGGCACTATGGTAGATGGCATCCAAAGGTTTAAGAGTAGTAGCAGCTGTACTTTGATAAATATTATCACCATATTCAAGAACAGATACAAATATTGACTGAGTAATCTGCTTCCTACTGCTTAGAGAAAGGCACGATCTTCTTCTGTAGAAAAATACAACTTTAAATCTTAGCTTCTTAACCAGCTCATCTATATGTTTTCTAAACATCAAATCCATATAAATCCAAATGCCTAAGTATTTATATGCGGGAACATGTTCGATTGGAGAACCATCTAATGAGTGAACATGTAGTTCATCTGAAATATTCTTACGAGAGGTTAAAATGAATTTAGATGTATTTCGTTTTTTCTTCTTCTTCGTATTAAGCACAAGTTTTAAATCAGTAAGGGATTCCTGCATAGCTATACAATCTGACTGTAGTTTTGACACAGCCAGATCAACTGTCAAGGCAATAGCATAAATAATAGTATCATCCACATATAAATGAAGTTTACCATTTTTAACAGATTGACCAATGGTGTTTATATAAATAGTGAGGAGAACAGGTCCCAAAATCGACCCTTGTGGTACACCTATATGTACTTCAAGAAATTCAGACTTAATCCTATCAGTCACGATGGCCTGAGTTCTGTCATTAAGATAACCGTGAACAGGCGTCAGAGCTCAAGCCTATCGAGGACAACTTATTAAATAAAATAGCATGATCAACAGTATCAAAAGCTTTTGACAGGTCCACAAACAAAGCAGCACATTTAATTTTAGTGTCTAATGCATTGACAAGATCATTAACAACTAAAGTGGTTGCCGTAGTGGTGCTATGCCCAGGCCTAAACCCTGATTGGTGTACATTCATAATACATTTCTCAGATAAAAAAGAGCAGTTGTACATTTACCAAGGATTCAAGAATATTAGCTAGACAAGGAAGCCTTGAAATGGGGTGCTAATTATTAAAATCACTACTATCCCCGTCCTTATGGAGTGGCAGCACAAGAGCTGATATCCATACTTTCTGAATATTTCCTGATAACAATGTTAAATAAAAAATGTGGGTTATTGAGCCAACAATGATGGATGCTGCACACTTAAGCAGACCAATATCCAATTGTTCTTGTTGTCTATTGCTAGCAAAGCATCCAGACTTAAAAATGTTTGAACGGAGCATGATTATACACAATAGTATTGAAGACATCTCCAAAAAGGTTCAAAGCTAAATCAGGTTCAGGGATAGCTAAAATACAATCAAGGTCACTAAAATAAAGATAATGTAAAAAAGCATGTTCACTTAAGTTTTTTAAGTTCCTCTTAGTGATGACATATAAATCTTTATTTTATAAATCTTTATTTTAACAGGGAAAAACAGACTGAGACCTGGATCTCTTTTACGGCTGTGCCCTGTGTAAACATGTTGACATGTACAGTTTTAGACATACAGACAAGAACATTTCAAACATACAAAACAAAAAACACAATTCAACAAAAACAATCACAGACAACATCATATTGATCCTCCATAACATTTTTAAAATGGGCAAGGGACACCAGAGT